ACACACTACAGTAACACACCACAGTAACACAAATCACAGTAACACCCCTTACAGTAGCATTAACCACAATGACACATACAACAGATCTAGCTAGAATTCGACCATGGGTAAGCTTCTGATAGAGATTGGACTCATTTTAGGTAAAGTTGTCTGAATATTTCAACTGCTTTTTCTGTGTTCTTTTCTTTCAGTCGAAATATTGTAGTTCTATGATGAGAAATCTGTCCTTTGAAACAGGAGGTGATGTAGTCGATCCCACTCAAATTCAGTGGCTTAGTCACTATTTCAGACGACAGGTGAGTCAACATTTCAATAGCTGCAATTTACTCCTACTAAGGTTGGAAATTTTGCTGGATGTATTTTTCGTAGATTTAAGATCTTGATATTATGATAAGCATTTGCTATATATTTTACAGTAAACATTTTTCACAGAAACGTTATTGCCTCAAAAATTGTCAAAATTTAGAACCCCACAAAAATCGATTTTAGTACATGTATTACCTGCAAAATTACTATCTTATACATTATAGAATGCCATTGGTAAAGTCATTGACTGGCGTTCACTTCCTGAGAATAAGAAAGCATCAGATACAGAAGTTGGGGAAAGAATTCAACTTGAACTTTCCAATTGCACAATTGAAGACTGCAAAGAACAGGTAAATTAGATGTTTGAGAAAACACAGTACTATACCTGATAGTGATTTCAATGTTTGGAAGCCTTTCCAGGCATGTGATACCTCAGAGAATGAATGTTTTTTGATACCGACTCTCAAACAAAATTCTGGTATTGATCTGTAATAGGAAAGAGAGTAGTGTGCTTCTCACCAGGGATTGGACCTGCAACCCCCAGGCTCCCAGTCCACCTTTCTGCCAATCGGGCTTAAAGCTAGAAGGTGACCGAAATCTTATGTTCAATTAAAATCTGCCACACTACTCCCCATTATTTAAAATTAATGTGATCACCCTCAAACGCCACAAGAACCCAGGTTCTAACTCCCTGTCACTGCCAGGAGGGCCACAGACACCATTTGTAACAGGAAAGAGAGTAGTGTGCTTCCACTGGGGATGGAACCCGTGACCCAAAGGTTTCCAGTCCGCTGCTCTACCGATTGAGCTAAAGGGAAACTCCCTCAAGCACAAAGCTAGAAGACGCGTTATCCTTTATACAATTACCATCTGTCACTGATCTTTGCTTAGAAGTATAAGTTTGTCACCATCTGTAGGAAATGTTACTGAATCTGGGAACTTGAGTTACTGACTCCAGGAAATGGTAGTTACTGACTCCGGAGAATGTGAGTAACTGACTCCAGGGAATGTGAGTTACTGACTCTGGATCTCGGGAACTTAGGTTACTGACTCCAGGGAACAAGCTTTAAGGCGGTCAATGTCTTCAGGTAATGACTCACAGACTCTAGAGAACAGGTTGGTCATTGATGGATGGGAATCTTTTCCTATCTTTGGGGTGTGACAGACAAATCTCCAACCTTAGGGAGGATTTCTTTTTAGGTTGTCTAACACGAGGCTATGCTGAGAGTTAAACAACTGAATAGTAAACTTGGGGTTTGAAGATTTCACTGAATCACCCTCAAGGTAGCTAGGGGATGATTATTTTTCTCCCATCTTATTGTCCTAGTTCCGCATTGACAGTAGTTTGACATGTTTCAAAAGTACATGTTGCCTATGCATATTGGCATTCACTTTTTATGACATCACAATTTAGCACATATGCCATGCTGCATGTGGCTATTTCTTCCTAGGGGATAATAAGTCAAACTTCCCAGCTAAAACAGGAGACACACCTGTGAAGGGTGGGAGTGATATGCCTCACCTATTTCTGGTCACATGATGTCATTGACTGTAGAAACATTTGGGTCATTCTCTCTAGGTAATATTAATGTTAGGGACATACTACATTACTCCTAGAGCAGGGAGGAATTGTGCCAAATCAGTAATAATTCCATCACTTCATGTTGAATTTGTAAGTTCCTAGTTGACTACATTCATTCATGATTAAAGCCAACTAGAGTCAGATTTGTACTGTAAACAAACACATTTTACCAGATACTGATTTTAATGCTTTTTACACTTTTTAAGCCTTTGCTAAATTATGATTATGCTACTTAAAGCTTATGTTTATTCTGCTGCATGAATTGTGTCTTCATTTTTGGTTCAAATTAAATGTTTTATGTAAATCTTCCAATTAGTGCTATGTTTACATTATGTTCCTGTTGGCCGCGGCAATCATGTTTCAGCTGGCCAACGTGGACAAAACGGGATGGACGTGAGACAACACGGGGGGATTGGATGGGTAAATGTGACATGCCTTGATTGCTCTGGATGCCGGGCCAAATTTTTAAACTGTCAAAAAACTTGCCACGGCAGTCATAATGCAGATGAGAAACCTAGTAGGCCGTAGTAAAACTGGGTGAACGCAACAAAACGTGACAGTACGTAACTGGCTGTAATAGGTGGTCCGTAGTGGGACGGGAAGTATGTGTATTCCCCAGCATCTCACAGTCCTTTCAAGTCTCAGGATACAATGATTGCTATTGCTTACTTGGGAGGCCTTCTTTTTATACCGTGGGCACAAACATGCTCCAAAGCTTTCTGGCGTCCATGATTCATCCGTAGAAAGCCTTGACTGATGTGAAAAACGTGTCGCACTTTGATCAGAATGTTAGAAACGTGAGGGACACAATCAGAACATGACAGGCTGAGAGGGAATGTACTAGCATCCGTGGTAGACCGCGGGCCGAACTATATGCACCTTGGAGACTCTGGGACTCAGCAGCCCCTTTCCCCTTACAAACCGTGAGAAAACTTAGCAAGACCAAATACCAATAAAGAGAAAAAATCAGGCAAACAGGGCTGCCGTGGTGCCGGGAACATAATGTAAATCAAGCATAAGGCCTGTTGTATCTTGTGAAGGTGAAAGAGTGATGGCATATTTAACACATGTTGAAGTTACAAGGTGGTGTTGACACATCATAATGTTAAATAGTAGCGTTGACACATGGTAAAAATACATAGTTGGGCTGACACATTGTAAAGTAACATTGTGGTATTGACACATATGTTAAAGATTTGCCAACAAAGAAAGTTGTTTTTCTTTACAGGAGCAGGTTGAAGAAGAAGTTTTGAACTATGATATAACAGAAAGCAGAGGTAAGTCTGAAATATACATAAACCCCAGTCAATTATGTTTACAGATACTTTTCTGGAATCAGAACTACTTAAATCAGAATTCAATATTGAATTTCTGAAACTAGAAGTTAAGTGCACTAGGGGATCTCCAAACCATAACTAAAGGAGGAAATTCTACGCAGTGTTTACAGTTCATGTGTTGCTTTCCACCCGCTCACTCGCACATTTGGTACATGTACCACCTAAGTCTGAACGCGCCAAATTTGAATATCGTTATGCGTACTACAGTGATATGTCACACCATCTAATGATGGTGGGCTATTCAAATCAACCTATGTCTGTGGTCTGTCGGTCAAGCCATAAATCCATCCTTAAACAGTGGATCAAGGATCTTTCTCGAAACTTCACATAAAGGTTCCCCATGGTCCCTAGTTGAATTTTGGGAACTATTGGAAAACCAAGATGGACGACAGGCAACCATCTTGAATTTGGGTAGTTAAAGATTGTCAGAATTATCTCTCAGAAAATACTGGAGAGATCTTTCTCAAATGTTTTGATTGATGTTCCTCAGTTATTCATATGAATTTATGAAGCCTGATCAGAAAACCAGTGGCCATCTTGAATTTTGAGAGTTAGAGATCATTAGCATTATTCTGCAGAAAGTACTGCAGGGATTTTTCTCATATTTAATCTTGGGACTGATCATAAAACCAAGATAGCTGACAGGTGGCCATCTGGTATTTAAAAATCAAAGTTTGTATTTAGCAATATTTCTCAGAAAGAACTGGAGGGATAAAAGGCTTAAAGATTGATCCAAATGAATGACCTTGACCTACTTGTTCATCACCAGGGTCAAATGTGCGAAAGAAAGTTTAACTAACACCTTCAGAAGGTCCTTAATTAAGGCCAAGAGAAAGAACATTTGGTCTGTAACTTGCTAAAGTAATACAATCTCAAAATTATTTATATAAATTATCTTGAGTCCAACTTCAAATGTTGCCTGAGAAATTCATTGATAAATGCATTGAATTACAGGCGAGTAATACAGGCCCACTTGGCCTCTTGTTCTCATTCCAAATGTAGGTGTTTTCTGCCGGAATGAAATTTTCTGCCCGGATGAAATTGGTATCATTTTACATTTGTAATCTTCCTTTCTTGATTTTATTAATTCTTGGAATATTATCTATCAGTACAAAGACACAAAATGAGACTATAGCTATTCACTTCTTGTATTTACTGTCAGATGAAGACCATGCTTGCCAGTCTGCCTCTGCCATAAAATCACAGGAATCTGACTTTCCATCTGCCAGACAGCCTGTCTTAAAGCCTGGAGACAAGGTCGGAAAAGGTAATGTGGTTAAAATCAACCGGGACTCTACTATAGCCTTGTAAAGTCATCAACACTCTGGTAGATGGTATAGGATTACAAATATCCATACTGAAATATCACTAAATGTTTAGGACCTATTAAATCAAAGTAAAAAGCATGGAAACAATGATTTAAGGTCAGATCTTGTGTAATGATGTTTTGATTGTTATGTAGGTAGATTATACCTAGAATTACAAACTAGTTCACAATGCAATGAAGTTTGGATAATTGTGTCTGTAAATTGTAACTAGAAATTATAAACTAGAACATGTTGTAATGTTGTTTGGATCATTGTGTCTGTAAATTGTAACTAGAAATTATAAACTAGAACATGGTGTAATGTTGTTTGGATTATTGTGTAGGTAAATTGTAAAAAGAATTCAGAAACGAGGACATTGTGTAATGACATTTGGATTATTATGTATGTAGCTAGGTTGTAACTAGAAATTATAAACTATGACATTGTGTTACGGGGTTTGGATCGTTGAGTGTGTAGGTTGTAACTAAAACATAAACTTAGGACATTGGGTTACGGTGTTTGGATCGTCGTGTGTGTAGGTTGTAACTAGCAATTATAAACTATGACATTGTGTTACGGGGTTTGGACCGTTGTGTGTGTAGGTTGTAACTAGAACATAAAACTAGGACACTGTGTTACGAGGTTTGGATCTTTGTGTGTGTAGGTTGTAACTAGAAATTATAAACTATGACATTGTGTTACGGGGTTTGGATCGTTGTGTGTGTAGGTTGTAACTAGAACATAAAACTAGGATGATGTGTTATGTTGTTTGGATCGTTGTATGTAGGTTGTAACTAAAACATAAAACTAGGACATTGTGTTACGGTGTTTGGATCGTCGTGTGTGTAGGTTGTAACTAGAACATAAAATTAGGACATTGTGTTATGGTGTTTGGATCGTCGTGTGTGTAGGTTGTAACTTATTAAAGAACATAAAACTAGGACATTGTGTTACGGTGTTTGGATCGTTGGGTGTGTAGGTTGTAACTTGAACATAAAACTAGGACACTGTGTTACGGTGTTTGGATCGTTGTGTGTGTAGGTTGTACAAATGTAACTAGAACATAAAACTAGGACATTGTGTTACGGTGATTGAATCGTTTTGTGTAGCTAGGTTGTAACTAGAACATAAAACTAGGACACTGTGTTACGGTGTTTGGATCATTGTGTGTGTAGGTTGTAACTAGAACATAAAACTAGGACACTGTGTTACGGGGTTTGGATCGTTGTGTGTGTAGGTTGTAACTAGAACATAAAATTAGGACATTGTGTTACGGTGTTTGGATCGTTGCGCGTGTAGGTTGTACAAATGTAACTAGAACATAAAACTAGGACCCTGTGTTATGTTGTTTGGCTCGTTGTGTGTGTAGGTTATAACTAGAACATAAAACTAGGACATTGGGTTACGGTGATTGAATCGTTTTGTGTAGCTAGGTTGTAACTAGAACATAAAACTCGGACACTGTGTTACGGTGTTTGGATCGTTGTGTGTGTAGGTTGTAATTATACTAGAACATAAAACTAGGACATTGTGTTACGGTGTTTGAATCGCTTTGTGTGTAGATTGTAACTAGAACATAAAACTAGGACATTGTGTTACGGTGATTGGATCGTTTTGTGTAGGTCTTGACTGGAATGATGCCCAAAATACTGAGGACTGTCGATGTGAACGGGGAACAGTCATCAACTATAATCAGAAACAAAGAATAGTCAAGGTATGTTGTCTTAGATCCCTGAAAGTATTTACCTGACTGTAACAATTTAACAGTCATGTATCAGATAGTTTGTATAATAAGAGGGCATGCAGGTGCCAACTGTATACAAATAAAAAACCAGAAACAACATTATCTCTTTAATCAAAATCTATTTCAAATTGAATGTTGGGCACGGTACAATCTATATACCTCGGTTACTCTCATTTTTGAGGAATACTGGAATCAGCTTGTCTGTCCGTCCATAGAAAAAGTTTGTCGGACAACTCCTTCTAAAGTAATGGACCAATTTCAATGAAACTTTCCAAATATGATAATTACCACCTGAAGTTGTGCATCCAGGTATTATTTTTCATTGTCCCTTTTTTACAAAGTTATGGCCCTTTGTTGAAAAATCCTTGTCCGGACATCTCCTCTAAAACTACTGGACCAATTTCAATGTAAATTTTCAGATACATATTATAACTACCACCTGATGTTGTGCAACCAGGTATTATTTTTTCAATCTGACCCTTTTTTCACACTACTCCAGACAACTCCTCCAACACTATATGCTTCTCCTTATCTACAGGGCCAATTTCAAAGAAAGTTTAAAGATATGGCAACTGCCCTTTGATGTTGTGCATCCAAGTAGTACATGTACTTTTTCATTCTGACCCTTTTAAAAGAAGTTATGGCCCTTTGTTGAAAAAACCTTTGTCTGCATAAACTACTGGGCCAATTTCAATGAAAGTTTACAGATATAGTAATTGCCCCCTGATGTCGTTCCTGAGGGTTGTATTCTTTCATTTTGACCCTTTTATCAAGGAGTTATGGCCCTTTGTTAAAAATCTTTGTCCTGACATCTCTTCCAACTACTAGGACGATTTCCGCAAAACTCCTTCATTTGGCCATGGGCTAACAAGATTTGGTTTGAAAGTATGTTTTGGCATTGAAAGGGAGTACAGGAAGTATGTGAATGACCTAAATACTTAAGTAAGTGTACAGCTCAGCCAATAAAGAAATCATTACTGGTGGGAGACTCTATTCCTTTGCAGTGCTTTGCCTTAGTAAACCGTCAGCTTACAGTTCTGGTTTAAATAGGAGCCCCGGGGGTATTAGTTAGCCATTGGCTTACAGTTATAGTTTTTTTTTCTGTGTTATATATTCTGTATAATTTTTCCTGTGTAACTTTCCTGTGTAGTTTTCCTGTGTTCTATATATTTCCTGTGTCATGTTTTCTGTGTAATTTTCCTGTGTTCTATTTCCTGTGTCATGTTTTCTGTGTAATTTTCCTGTGTTCTATTTCCTGTGTCATGTTTTCTGTGTAATTTTCCTGTGTTCTATTTCCTGTGTCATGTTTTCTGTGTAATTTTCCTGTGTTCTATTTCCTGTGTCATGTTTTCTGTGTAATTTTCCTGTGTTCTATTTCCTGTGTCATGTTTTCTGTGTAATTTTCCTGTGTTCTATTTCCTGTGTCATGTTTTCTGTGTAATTTTCCTGTGTTCTATTTCCTGTGTCATTTTTCTGTGTAGTTTTCCTGTGTTCTATATATTTCCTGTGTCATGTTTTCTGTGTAATTTTCCTGTGTTCTATTTCCTGTGTCATGTTTTCTGTGTAATTTTCCTGTGTTCTATTTCCTGTGTCATGTTTTCTGTGTAATTTTCCTGTGTTCTATTTCCTGTGTCATGTTTTCTGTGTAATTTTCCTGTGTTCTATTTCCTGTGTCATGTTTTCTGTGTAATTTTCCTGTGTTCTATTTCCTGTGTCATGTTTTCTGTGTAATTTTCCTGTGTTCTATTTCCTGTGTCATGTTTTCTGTGTAATTTTCCTGTGTTCTATTTCCTGTGTCATGTTTTCTGTGTAATTTTCCTGTGTTCTATTTCCTGTGTCATGTTTTCTGTGTAATTTTCCTGTGTTCTATTTCCTGTGTCATGTTTTCTGTGTAATTTTCCTGTGTTCTATTTCCTGTGTCATGTTTTCTGTGTAATTTTCCTGTGTTCTATTTCCTGTGTCATGTTTTCTGTGTAATTTTCCTGTGTTCTATTTCCTGTGTCATGTTTTCTGTGTAATTTTCCTGTGTTCTATTTCCTGTGTCATGTTTTCTGTGTAATTTTCCTGTGTTCTATTTCCTGTGTCATGTTTTCTGTGTAATTTTCCTGTGTTCTATTTCCTGTGTCATGTTTTCTGTGTAATTTTCCTGTGTTCTATTTCCTGTGTCATGTTTTCTGTGTAATTTTCCTGTGTTATATTTCCTGTGTCATTTTTCTGTGTAGTTTTCCTGTGTTCTATATATTTCCTGTGTCATGTTTTCTGTGTAATTTTCCTGTGTTCTATTTCCTGTGTCATTTTTCTGTGTAGTTTTCCTGTGTCATGTTTTCTGTGTAATTTTCTTGTGTTCTATTTCCTGTGTCATGTTTTCTGTGCAATTTTCCTGTGTTCTATTTCCTGTATCATTTTTTCCAGTGTAATATATTGCCTGTGTAATATTTCCAGTATGAATTTTCCAATGTAGTATTTACTGTATAATTTTTTCAATGTCATTCATCTTGTTGTCTCTTGTCATTTTTGCACATTTTCATGTTGAAAATACAGTATTTAATTAAATTATAGCCGAAAAGATTAAACTCAATATTGATCAATCACTTTAATTTATAATTTTTTGTGACATTTAGGTGAAGTGGGACAATGGTACAGAGGACTACTATCAGGAAGGTCAAATACTGCTGCAGCAGGACACAGATCATCAGCAAAAGCCAAGGTGAGCACCAGATTATTGTACATGTTCAAAGTCTTTGTAAATGTTTGTGGTACTAGTGTGGAGTTATTTCTGAGGTGATTGTGTTACTATGGAAGAGTTAATTCTGAGGTGATTGTGTTACTATGGTAGAGTTGATTCTGAGGTGATTGTGTTACTATGGTAGAGTTAATTCTGCGGTGATTGTGTTACTATAGTAGAGTTAATTCAGTGGAGATTGTGTTGCTATGGTAGGGTTAATTCTGAGGTGATTGTGTTTCTATAGTAGAGTTAATTCTGAGGTGATTGTGTTAATATGGTAGAGTTAATTCTGAGGAGATTGTGTTACTATTGTAGAGTTATTTCTGAGGTGATTGTGTTGCTATGGTCGAGTTAATTCTGAGGGGATTGTGTTGCTACAGTAGAGTTAATTCTGAGGTGATTGTGTTACTATGGAAGAGTTAATTCTGAGGAGATTGTGTTACTATGGAAGAGTTAATTCTGAGGTGATTGTGTTAC